ATATAGATTAGGTTAAATTTTATTAGCTTAAAATGTTTATAGAAAATCAAAACATAATATATGATTATACATGTACTTTTGTTACTTAATAATAACTTTTATTAATTATTTTAAAATTAAACCATTATAATATTTTAAAATATATGCGCAACACACGGGCACGTATACTAGTATGATTTAAAACAAAAGGAAAACGTAAGTCTATTACCTTAATCAACATTGAATTCTACTTTAATTTACATATTAGAATACTATCAAAATTATGACAATAAAAAAATAAATCTGACATAAAAAATAGATAACACGAAAAATTGCATGGAATCATATGAAGTAAAGGTTGAGAATGAGAAGCAAATGAAATATAACAAATAAAATATAAAAAATAAAAATTAAACTTTTAGAAGTTTTTTTAATAAAAAATAATTTAAAATAAAAGAAATAAAAAATAAATTAAATGAAAAAATAAAAATAAAAAGAAGAAATTTAAAAGTAATCAACTTGTAATTACACTATGTAATTACCAGCAATTCACAGTATTTTCCTAGGAATTGGAGAGATAAATGGTAGGTGGTAACTGGTAACTGATCTAACATCTCAAATACACCTCATTCGATTCTAGGTGTAGACGATCGTTATCTAGTATAAAACCCAACAAAGAGTTGGGGTCGAACCCATAGAGAGCGATACGTGTTTAAATTCAATTATGAAGTTATAAAGTGGTCTAAGCGGTTATAGGAATAGAAATGATCAAAAACATACAAACAAGTCAAAGGGGTGACAACGAATGTCGGATAGGGGGTTTGGATTGTCAATTAATCAGCTGAAACAAGTGTGGAAACAAGAGAACATGCAATATTAAGAGGAATTCTCGGGATATGATCGTTTATAAGCTAATTACGATATATGGGTAATTGAAATTTAACAATAATTCATTGAAATATTGTGGGTAGGCTGGATTTTAAGTGCAATAACTTTCTCTCAAACAATTATTACGGTTCAGGCGATTTCTTTCGAGCATCGATAAGCTTTACAAGATAACCAATCCACAACCTTAATGCATCCACTCTCTCAAGCTAGATAGGTAGAATTGAGTTTAGGATTCACTCTCGAGCTGAACCCATATCAACCCAATACCTACAAATTATTAATCAAAAGCTTTGGTTCCAAAACATCTCTCAAGCAAGCCAAGAACTCAAAATTAGAATTGCATTTGCAACTACAATATATTGAATAAAACTCTGCTAATGATTAAACCCACATTAAAACAACAATTTCATCATCAAACAACAATACCCATAAGATAATTAGACAAATAAACACATGATCACACCCCAAGAATTGGAGTTTTAGCTACACATCATAAAAATAGAGAAACGATTACCAAATACATTAGCCATGATATAGGTAAAGGTTCTCAAGTCTTTACATTGGTCCAAATTGAGTAAATTCAAAAACCCACTTGCAAATCTTCAAGTTTGAGCCTCAAAAGCTTCAAAGTCTACAATGGAACTCAAAAACTAAGCGAAAACCCACTGAATAATAGCATGATACTGAAATTCCATTTTAAATTTCAATTTATAGTTGTCCAAAATTTGGCCTGAAAAACCATTGGGTGAGATAAGTCGGGCCTCGCCGAACAGGTCGGCGATTTGCCGTTTACTCCGATCCATTGTCTGTATGCATTGGTCATTTGTCCTCAGTGTTCTGTGACTTTAGGCGATCAAGGTTGCCATCGCGGAGTCGTTCAGCGATTCACCGATTACCCATTTTTGTCGACAAGTTGGTTCTTCCCCAGGGCTTGCACGCTGAAACTTTGGGCGGGCTAAAAAGCCACTCGGTGGTTCGCCGAGTGGTCTTGGCGATCACCAGGATCACTTTTCTTCACTTCTTAAGCTTGTTTACTCCTTTTTACTTGGTAGTGTCCTTGCCTTGCTCCTTCGCCTACTTACCTGCAAATCAATGCTTTAACACATGTTTATAGCATAAATTAGACATTTTAGGACACTAAAACTATCAAAACAAATCCTTAAATGAATCCAAATCTCGGACTCATCAGTAACTGCACCTTCCATTTATTCATTATGCATCACACAATATTCGTAAATATTTAAAACATTTTATCAAATATATAAAAGTATATCTTAACTAAATATTTACTTTAGAACGAAATTATCCAACAAGAGCAATATTATAATAAAACACTCAAATTTAGAATTGTAAGCCTTCACAAAGTACGAATGACAACTTTAAACACATGGGGTGTTACAAACAAGACTTTGATGACTTTTCTCTGGAAATATTAAAGTTCATTCCTACTCATTTCATCTTACAAATTCTTATATGATTATTAAAGAGTAGCTAAGTCCTTTGTTCTAGGGATGTGACTACAAATGATTGCTTTATTATTTAATTTATGGATGCAGTTTGGTTATCACTCTAAAATTACTCTAGTGTTCTTGAATTACTATTTTGATGCCTAATTACCATCAAATAAACTTATTATCTTTTCTTGAAGGCGAAATGGTCTGATGGACCCTTGTACTTGTATGAGTTTATATTCTAAACTCTTCTACTTAATTTTTTGCCAACTGAACCCTTAAACTCAACTAAAATGAGATTTTTAAACCTTCTGACCATTGACCAAGCTTATGTGGCATTTTTTTGCTGACTCAATTATAGTGCGTGGTTTCACACTTAAATAGGTGAGTGAAAGCAATGAATTTGCTTTAAAAATAATTAAATAATAAAAAAAGGAAAAAACAAATTAAAGTCCCAACCCCTCCCTCTTCTTCTCCCTTCTCTAAGAAAATGGTGCAGATCTCATCGTCCCTTGCGACGCCATTTTCATCTGCATCGTCACCCATTTTGTCCATTGAACCTTCGTTAATGATTAAGTGTTTTAGTGAGTTTTAGTGCTATCAATGGAAGTTTTAGATGTTGAACAAGAAGACTGATTTTTCTTCAGTGGCTATAGGTCATCAATGGAAGTTTTAGATGTTGAACAAGAAGGCTGATTTTGCTCCGGTGGCTATAGGTCATCCATGGTGGTTATGTGATGGTTTTGCTCCGGTGGCTTCCTCCGCTCATTCTGTCCACAGATTTCTTTTTTTTGTGTGTTGAGATCTGGGTTTGATATTGAGTGGTATTCTTCTTCGAGCATCAAAAATCTGCCATAAGATCCAACATTAAGAAAACGTTATCCGTTCATATTAGTTTTGTGATCTGGGTTTGAGTTATGGCTTTGTGAGCTTCATAGTAATTTTTCAAAGAAGACAAGAATTAGGAGAAAGGAGATCAATGAAAAAAATTCTTATTTTTTTATGTTGTATTTATTCTTGTATAGCCACTGACAAATTTTTAGCTTCCCCAAATTATCTTTTCAATTGAAGTTCAAGGAAGAAGGAAAGCGATTCATCATTTGAGAGATTAATTTTGAATTTCCATTTTTTCTTTCTGTTTGGTGGTTGTGGGTTGAGGGAGGTGGAGGAAAAGTGAGAAAAATAATTATTTTGTTCTACTTTTAAATAGAAAACTTATAATTTTTATCTTTTATTTGAGTGACATTTTTAGTTAATAATTTAAAAAATGTTAAGAAATAATTATGACATGACATTAACATATATGATGTGGATATGACATGTCATTTATGTTAGGGAGAGTGAGTTACACACATGGTTGGAGGGGTTCAAAAGTTTCATTTTAATTGAGTTTAAAGGTACAGTTGACAAAGAGTCAAGTAAAAGGGTTCAGAATACAAACATATAAAGTACAAGGGTTCACCAGACCATTTCGTCTTTCTTGAACTAAAAAGAGGAATAGAAAGATAGAACGTGGAATACAAGGAGAACGATCTTCCTTTGTGCAAAACATTGAGTGTTTCGTATCAAGGATAGAGATATACCTATTTCATGCATGTTTACGACACAAGAAGAAATCTTAATTCTCCGTTGTTGATTCAATTTATCTCTGCTCAACGATGTAGTCAGATTGTCAATTGTTGTAGGTAATTAGGTCATGAGATCCTAATCATATCGTTAATCTTCTAAATCAGTAATTTGATAACAATTTGGAATCTATTGAAGAAATACTATGTACCAATTCTTTCTTAAGCAACAACCCTGCAATTTCCCAAGTCGTCGTTATTACTTCAAGCGAAACTGAATCATTGCTAGTAATTTAGTACTTTAAACTTCGAAATTATTATTATAAAATTCTAATTAAACTCTTTTTGCACGCTTGAATTAAATTGTAGTTACTAGTGATTTGAATATAAACTAATTGTTAGTCTTTTGGGTTCGATAGTTCGGCTCTTAAGAGTCACTATATTACTTATGTGACCACGTACACTTGCGTGTGCATTGGAAGCAACACTCTCCTCCCCCTAACATGTAACTATAATTCGTAATTAAGCAAGCTATAGCCATAAATCTCTCGTTAAACCCAAATTATAGTCGAAAGTTTCCCTTAACCATATACTCTAGAGCATTTATTTATATTACATTTAAGATTGCAACCTTTTAAAGTGTAATAAATATTTATCCAAGTGAATATTATACAATGAATTAGTTCAATGAAAAGACATTTCAAATTGAACTTCTAATTTTTGAAGTTAAATTTTCTATTACTAATTAATACCCCTGCTATTTGCAAATTGAGCTTGTATTTCGTGTAAAACATGGCAGTCTGGTCAAACAGAGCAGAAAAATTAACAAGAATTCTTCTTTCTATTATGAGTAAAACAGAGAAGAAAAACTAATTTTTCATTCTGTTTTGTGAAGGAGTGTCACTATCAAGGAAAAACGGACAGATTCTTTTTTTCCTCCTTTTAATCTGTTTTCACATTACTCTTTTTGCTAATTATTTTCCTCCATATTAATCTGATTTCACATATTGGAAATTAGAGTCTATCCTTTTCAACTTATTTGTTTTGGTGCTATATAACATTGATGTTCGAAAATACCACACACAAATTAATTCCCTTGAAACATTCTAGTAACTGCATGGAGAAGCATATTTCCTTGTTGATACTTGTCTTTCTAGTTAAATTTTCTATATCAATTGCTGCCTCAAATGAGACAGACCAAAAAGCTCTACTAGCTTTCCAAAATCTCATTAGTCCTAGTCGTTTTTTGGCCATTAATTGGACCAAGAATACTTCTTATTGCTCTTGGTTTGGTGTCACTTGCAGTCCAAAAAGGCAAAGGGTTGTAGCCTTGGCTCTTCCTAATTTGCAACTTCAAGGCACAATTTCGCCATGTTTGGCCAATTTGTCCTTTCTCAGAGTGCTCAATATTGGGAATAACAGCTTCCACGGTGGGATCCCCTATGGACTTGGTCACTTGCCTCGCTTGCGAGTGATTGATATTCAAAACAATCAGCTTAACGGAAGTATACCGACAAGTCTGTTTCAACACCGGAGAGTTCAAGTAATTTCTTTGGCTTTTAATAAACTCCATGGTGAAATGTGGAAAGGGCCATGGTATGTACCTGAACTCAGAGTCTTGGATCTCACCAACAATAGCCTCACGGGTGTGATCCCTCCTTCTGTTGGAAATGCCACAAACATGATCAACTTCAGTTTGTTTGGAAATAGAGTCAACGGTAACATTCCAAAGGAGATCGGTAATCTGAGTCAACTAGCAGACTTGTCCTTGAGTGATAATCAATTAACAGGCTCCATTCCCGCAATACTGTTTAATATCTCGTCGCTACTTGCCATACATCTGCGAAACAATAGCCTTTCTAGTCCTCTCTTGCTAGATGAAGGAAATATTGTCTCAAATCGAGAGGTATTACGTATATCTCACAACCAAATTTCTGGTTGCATTCCTTCCAACATTTGTCGGATACTCACAAAGCTCAAAATGTTGTCTTTATCTTTCAACAACATAACTGGAGAAATACCTAGAAATATTGATTGTCTAGCCAGAGGTGTTGTATATTGGACGTCATGCAATAAGTGGGACTATTCCTGCTTCACTGGGAAATATTTCCACTCTGCAAAATCTTGATTGTTCTCACTCTCGCATAGTGGGGCAAGTTCCTCAAGAGTTAGGGAAGCTATCAAATTTGAGGCTATTAAACTTTGAGCATAACTATAATCTTATTGGTCAAATTCAAGAGGCTATTTTCAACATATCTTCTTTGGAAACAATTGCTTTCAATTCCAACAACCTTTCGGGGAGAATTCCATCCACTACAGGTCTTCATCTTCCAAACCTTAAAGGACTTTACCTGGGAGACAATCACTTCGAAGGGGAAATTCCATTGTTCATAATAAATGCTTCCAAGCTTGAGATACTAGGGCTAGCACAGAACTTCCTGACAGGAGCCATTCCTACTAATTTGGGGAATCTTTGTGAGCTGCGATCACTACTCCTATATCATAATCAACTTACCAATGAACCAAGAGATCATGAGTTGCGATTCTTCAATTCTTTGGCAGACTGTAGGATGTTGAGATATCTACAAGTGGGTTACAATCTGTTGAATGGTGTTCTGCCCAATTCTATTGGCAATTTTTCATCTACTATTCAAAACATTGAAATAGGAGATACACACATCAACGGCCTCATCCCGACAAATATAGGCAATATAAGCGGTCTAATGGCCCTAGGGTTGGTAGGAAACAACCTGATAGGGAGTATTCCTTCTGATGTTGGTGGACTTAAATAGTTCCAAGGGCTGTATCTACATAACAATAAATTGCAGGGACATATTGCAGAGGAGGTATGCCATTTATCTAATTTGGTTGAATTAACTCTAGATGATAATGAGCTCAGTGGACTGATCTCAGAATGTATAGGATATCTAAGCATGCTACAAGTTATTTCTTTGAGTTCTAACACATTATCTTCAACGTTTCCTTCGAGCCTTTGGAAGATGAGTGGTCTTCTCATTGTAGACGTGTCACAAAATTCAATAGAGGGAGAAGTTCCATCAGATATTGGAGGACTGAAAACTATTGTAGAACTAGATCTTTCTTGTAACCACTTTTCAGGCATGATACCAAGCCAATTGGGGGACCTCCAAAACTTGAAGTCTCTTGACCTGTCGAATAATTCATTTTTAGACTCAATTCCATTATCCTTTGCCAAGTTGATAAGCTTAGAATACTTGGATTTGTCTTTAAATGCCTTGTCAGGTAGTATTCCTAAGTCTTTGGAAAAACTCTTGTATCTTAAAACCATTAATGTTTCATTTAATAATTTAGAAGGTGAAATACCCAATGATGGTGTGTTTGTAAATTCCACTCTACAATCATTTCTTGGGAACAGAGGTCTATGTGGAATGCACATATTGGAGGTTCCTACTTGCCCTATCAATAATCCTGGGAAACAATTAAAGTCTAAGGAGCTTATGCTAAAAATTGTTACTCCAGTGGTTATTTCATCCTTTATGATACTCTTGTTGATCTCAATTTGGATAATGAAACGAAAGAAGATAGGAAAGTCCAAGGATGTTGAAAAGGTTTTGGAGATCAGGACTTATCAATTGATTTCTTATCATGAGATTCAACGAGCAACAAATAATTTTGATGAATCAAATTTAATTGGTGAGGGAAACTCTGGTTCTGTGTACAAAGGCACATTATCTAGTGGAACTGCAGTGGCCATAAAGGTTCTAGATTTGGAAAATGAGAAAGTATGCAAGAGGTTTGATACCGAATGTGAAGTGATAAGAAATGTTAGGCACAAAAATCTTGTCCCTGTGATTACTACTTGTTCTCGTGATTATATAAGAGCCTTTGTTCTGCAATTTATGCCCAATGGAAGTCTGGAGAATTTGTTGTACAAAGAAGAGCCCAACTTGAACCTTCTTCAAAGTGTCATTGTAATGCTTGATGTAGCCATGGCAATTGAATATCTACATCATGGTAATGTCACTCCAATAGTTCATTGCGACCTAAAGCCAACTAACGTTCTTTTGGATGAAGATATGGTGGCTCATGTTGGTGATTTTGGAATCTCTAAAATTTTAGCCGTAAGCAAGTCCATGGCACATACTGAGACACTAGGAAGTCTTGGTTACATTGCACCAGGTATAAAATTTTTTAGTCGTAAGGAAGTCTCTTTGAATTTTCTTATTATAATTAAGTCTCTCCAAATTGTAGCTAGAAGTAAAATAAACAAGTCTTTATTTATGAAGAATTCTTGCTATATTTCAATTGAGTAACATTATTTTTCAATCCTTTCTTAAGAATATGGCTTGGAGGGAATAGGATCCACTAGTGGTGATGTTTATAGCTACGGCATCATGTTGATGGAGGTTTTGACCAAAAGAAGGCCAACAGATGAAGAGATATGCAATGAAAATCTTGACTTGAGGAAATGGATAACACAATCATTTTCAGGGACTTTGATGGACGTTGTGGATGCCAATCTTTTTTCTGAGGAAGAACAAATAACTTCTAAAAGTGAAATCTGCATAGGCTCCATGATAGAATTGGCTTTAGACTGCACAAAGGAAATGCCAGAATCAAGGATAACCATGAAAGATGTAGTCAAAAGGCTTAACAAAATCAAGAACGAATTTTTGGAAATGTAGAAGTTTAACATCTCTTTTGGTGGTGTTCTTTCTGAGCTGCAAGTTAATTGTTGCTTTTCATGTATCTGTTTTTTTTTTAATAAAGTCGTATGTACTACTTGAAGTCACATACTGTTTGTACTTCAGTGTTGCATTTCCTCATCCTGTCATGATATCAGATTTCAGTTGTTTTGAACATGTTTTAATTTTTTAAGTAATTATGGTTTTATTGGTTGAATAAACTAATATTAAATCAAGAAATATTATGAAGGTCTTTAGCTGCACTACTTTTCTTTCTTTTTGGAATTTCGGAAACAACTATTGTTCCTTCATATTTTTTATCAAAAGCTTATTCATTTGGTAACTATTTTTCGTTAACTTAAAGTTAAGTACAAGTTGTAGGGTTTCTTTTTTACAAAAAAGCTTTACTAGCCTAGGACAGATTTTGTATGCCTTAGGTTGCATCTATTATATGTGGCAAGAGTGGAACCAAATTGTTATTCAAGACTAAAGAAGAGAAGCTCAAGATGAACTTAACGACAAACTTGTATCCAACCAATTTAGTATCTTTTTGTCTCTTTTTTTTTAGGTGTAAACTTCTCTTTGGTAATAAAATGCTTACCTACCAAAAAAATAATATGAATATGTATGGATTGACCATGAGAACAAGATGGTAAGTGTTAGTGTAATATACCATAAACATAATAAATTGGAGTTGAAAATAAAATAAACAAAAATGAATAAAAATATATTTAGGCTGAGACGCGGCTATCTCACTCTCTTTAAGGAGATTCAAGTCCACTGCGACATAATCTACACTGATCCAGTAGTGTATCCCTTGACTTGTCCCCTCCAGTATACAACAACCCAACAACGTCGTACAACTCAAGCAACTCTGGATTAGTTGAAGAGTCCAACGCTCCACCACAAAAACACCTTCCTTCAATATATAATTACTCTCTTTTGTATAGCGAATTAGTCGAAGACTTATAATATTTTTCTGTTTCTCAACTCTTTCTTTCACTAATCTCAATATAAAAACAATTTAGTGTTCCTTTTCTTTACACTCTATGTTTTCTCGTATATCTCATGTATACAAAACAAAGTAAGACCACACTATTTATAGGTAAGGAATTCTTCCTTCCAATGAATAGGAAGATATTGAGTAGTAAATTGGGTAAATATCAATGGCTTAAATGTTACATAAGTTACAAGGTATAATAAGATAGAATAATGAGTGAAATAATATGTTAGAGGTTATAGGAGTTATAAGGACTATTATAGCCATATTCTACCATTAACTCATATGAGTAATTAGGCATAAAATGCCACTCAGTAATAGGAGTAATGCAAGAAATAAATCAAAAGCTATAATAGCCACCAACGTTAAGTTGAACAGGCTGTAAAATACATTTCATATGAGTCATATTTATGGTTTTGCTTCAGGGTCAATAATTCTTCTGGCACAAGTTCCTTAAGCTGTTTTAGACCTCGTGATGGAGTCAATTATTTTTGTAAATTCGTACGTGGTCCCATGATTGTTGTTTTTGGGTAGCTTTACATTTTTTAATTCCTATATTGATATGGGTTTGGTTTTGCTTATTTTGGCATTCTTTTCATGTTTTTTTATAGAGTGATCTCTTTGGAGGCTATTCGTAAGGAAAAAGCTCTGGAGTAGAGGTTCGGGCGCAATTTTGGCCTCGAGATAGGTTATGGTTTCACTTCATTTAGATTTGGCTCAGTTAGTTTTTTTATGTATTTAGTAGTATCGATTGTTAGGCTGGATTTTAGGACTGTAGGCTTGCATGATCCTAAGGCGGTATATGACCATCTTGGGTTGCTTAGCTTAGTTTTTAGCCAAAAAACCATAGTTTAGGTTGATCCTCGATCTTTGTGTCATTTAGTGTCCTTAGAAATGACTTTTAGGTGGCGTGAAACTTAGGTTGTCGCATGTTTCTTTGTTTTGGTTTGATTGCGTGCTTGTGTTGTGCTTTGAGCTTTTAATTTCTAATGTTATTGATTGTTGGGCCTGAGGCCGTGAGCTTGAACACCAAATATCCCCTTCCAAATTATTCTCTACCCATCGAGCCTACTTGTGTCTCTCAAGCCAATATGGATGCAAGTCTGAGAAAGGCTATGCAATAAGAATATAGTGCTCTCATCCAAAATGGTACACGGACCCTTATGCCCGCATCCTGTGAAAAACACATTATTGGTAGTAAGTGGATTTTTAAACCTAAGCTCTATCCAGATGGTTCTATTGAGCGATACAAGGCTCGTTTAGTTGCTAAATGATTTAATCAAGAAGTTGACATTGATTATCATGACACATTCAGTCCAGTAGTGAAGCCTACTACAATTAGAGTGGTTCTTACTTTAGCATTATCAAAAGGTTGGTCACTACGTCAACTCAACGTCAAGAATGCCTTTTTACACGGTGAACTACACGAGGAGGTCTATATGACTCAACTTACCAGGTTTCTTGATAATGCATGGGGTCCTGCCCTGCCTCTTATTTATCAAATAATAAATTTCGTTACTATGTTATCTTCATTGATGATCGCACAAAATTCACTTGGTATTATCCCATGTCCTTTAAAAGTGAAGTCTACTCGTTTTTTCTACGATTTAAATATCAAGTTGAAAATTATTTTGAACGCAAAATTAAAATAGTTCAATCTGATTGGGGTGGGGAATATCTAAAATGTTCAAAGTTCTTTGACTAAGTTGGTATTCTGCATCATATTTCTTGTCCTCATATCCATGAACAAAATGGATCCGCCGAACGAAAACTGTTATTGGTGCATGCCTCACTTCCTCTTCATTTTTGGGATGATGCCTTTTCTACTGTCGTGTATCTCATCAGTCGTATGCCTACTCTTATCCTTCATAACATATCACCTTTTGAGAAATTATATAAGAAAATTCCTGATTATAATTTCTTAAATGTTTTTGGGTGTGCTTGTATCCTTATTTACGACCATTCAACTCTCACAAACTTGCTTTTAGATCTTCTCGATGTCTCTTTCTTGGTTATAGCCCAATACATAAAGGCTATAAATGTATTCATATACCTAGTGGTCGAATCTATATCACTCGTCGACATGTTGTCTTTGAAGAGTCGATTTTCCCGTTTGCACTAAACAACAGTACATTGCCCGTGCCACTGCCTCCTTCACAAGTTCCTTCAATGTTATATGTAATTGCCCCTTTTTCAGCACCAACACCTCTTTATTCCTTACATTCAACTCCCATAAAATCTCTTATCAATCCAACCCTTTCAGGTGCTTTAATACCATCCCTTCCAGCTAATACTTCTCCCAAGTCTCCACCACTGTCATCAAATTTACTTACGACTGTGAATGTCACTGTTGACTTGCCCTTATTACCGAGTGTTGTCCCTTCACCTTTACAGTCCGAACGACACAACACTACTTATGTCCCACACCATATGATCACTAGATATACAGCAAAACACTAACAATCTAAAGCCAACTTGACCACCAAATATCCCCTTTCAAATTCTCCGATCTACCCATCGAGCCTGCTTGTTTCTCCCAAGCCAATAAGGATGCAAGTTGGAGAAAGGCTATGCAAGAGGAATATAATGCTCTCATCCAAAATGGTACATGGACCCTTATGCACGCATCCAATGCAAAGAACATTATTGGTAGTAAGTGGATATTTTAAACTTAAGCTCCATACAGATGGTTATATAGAGCGATACAAGGCTCATTTAGTTGTTAAAGGATTTAATCAAGAGCCTGACATTGATTATCATGACACATTCAGTCCAGTAGTGAAGACTACTACCATTAGAGTGGTTCTTACTTTAACTTTATCAAAAGGTTGGTCACTACGACAACTCGATGTCAAGAATGCCTTTTTACACGGTGAATTAGATGAGGAGGTCTATATGACTCAACCTACCGGGTTTGTTGATCCAAAACATGTTTGTAGACTTCACAAGGCTCTATATAGCCTTAAACAAGCCCCCCCGAGCTTGGTTTGCGAAACTAAGTAGTGCCTTACTTCATGTTTGATTTCTTGCCTCCAATTTTGATTCATCACTATTCATTTTCCATTCTAGTGACATAATCATCATTGTGTTGGTCTATGTTTATGAGCTTATTGTCACCGGAAATTCAGATGCCTTCATCAAAAATCTGATTGATAAGCTCTCCTCAAACTTTTCTTTGAAGGACCTTGGCAGATTACATTACTTCTTGGGAGTAGAAGTTCACTCCACTTCACAAGGTTTAATGCTAACTCAAACCAAGTATGTAAAAGACCTTCTCCAACGTGCAAACATGGAGGGTACAAAGCCTTTTTCAACACCTATGGTGTGAGGCCTTTAACTTTCCAAAGTTGGCAGCACTTCATTTGATGATCCAAGCCTTTAACGCAGTCTTACCGGTGCTCTATAGTATCTGACCATAACACGGCCAGATGTATCATTCGGTGTGAATAATTTATGCCAATTTATGAAATCTCCTACTCAAGCTCACTTCCAAGCATTGAAAAGAGTTGTGTTATTTGAAAGGTACATTAAATCTTGGGTTACATCTCAAGATATCATCTAAGCTGCTAATCAAGGGTTTTATTTATGCCGATTGGGCTGGTTATACAGATGATAGGTGTTCTACACATGGTTACTGTGTCTTTTTAGGCCAAAATTTAGTCTCATGGTACTCCAAGAAGCAACGGGTTGTTTCTCGGTCTAGTACTAAGTTAGAATATAGAGGTTTAGCTACTGCTACTGCTGAAATCACATGTCTGCAGTAGCTCCTTAAAGAATTACATGTCCATCTACCTTCGACACCTAAGCTTTGGTGTGACAACCTGTTTACCATTTATCTTACTGCTAATCCAATTTTTCATGCACGCACAAAGCACATTGAATTAGACTTTCATTTTTTCATTGAAAAAGTAGCTTCGAAGGATCTTGAGGTTGGATACATCAGCTCACTGGATCAGGTAGCAGACATATTGACCAAAAGCTCGCTATTGTGGACACACAA